GCATCACTCAGATTTGATCTTAGTTTTACTGTTTGGTGCCTTCTAGCAGCGATGGCTGTTTGAAAGTGCTCTATAACTACAGTTGAGTTCAGTTAACACTTTCATGCACAAATAATGCGAACCTACATCAGGATTTTTTTTTCCCTCAAGTGTTTTTATTCGTCTTTCGGCATGAAAAAAATAATGGCGGTGGATGGCAACACATAAGGGGCCATCGTAGTCGTGGATGCACAACTGTGACATTTAGATTAATTAATGGAAGAAAACACCATTTGAAGAGCTGTCCACTGTAGTAACCACTGCAAGAGTTAATTTACTATATATATTTTAATTTTTTTAGTTTTGAAAAATAGATTGTGAGGTGGAAAAGAAAAGTGCATGGATATACAATAAAAACATTGAGTTTTTTTTTTAACTATTGCAAATGTATGGGTCATTTCGAATGAATCGAATGAACAAAAATGTTAAAAAAAAAAAAAAGATATCCTGTTGATTGTGCATGTGTATGCAACCAGGTGACCAGTGATGCTTTAACATGCGTTTATCTGTCTGGCATTTTCAGGTATTCACGAGGAAGGAGACAGTGAAAAGGAGCAGCTGCAATGGCGTAACGGCCAGGGTCAGGCTTTCGCGCAGGGCGGCCTGACCCTGCTGAACAACCAGATCGTGGTGCCGCAGACCGGCCTCTACTTCGTCTACAGCCAGGCATCCTTCCGCGTGTCTTGCAGCGACAACAGCGGCGAGGAGGACCTGGAGCCCGGGGCGGCGTCTTCGGGGAAGCGCCTGGCGCCCCTCAGCCACCGCGTGTGGCGCTACTCCGACTCGGTGGGCCGCAAGGCCTCGCTGATGAGCGCCGTGCGCTCGGCGTGCCAGCACAGCAGTTCGGCCGAGGACGAGCAGCGCACAAAGCAGGGCTGGTACAACGCCTTGTATCTGGGGGCCGTCTTCCAGCTCAACAAGGATGACCGGCTGTGGACCGAGACCAACCAGCTGTCCGAGCTGGAAACGGACGGCGGCAAGACCTTCTTCGGCGTCTTTGCTCTCTGATGGCGCTGCGAGACTAGCCGGTCTAAAGCCGTGTTTGAAATCACTCCCTAGCCACGTTACCGTACACTTTGATATCGTGAATTTTCCGTATTTTCGTCGATCGTGCCCTCAACGTATCCCACAATGCATCTTGGAAAGTAGCGAACAACCGATGGTCACTGTGAAATATCCCCCCATGATGCATTGCGCCCATACAGAAAAGTGATTTTCCGTTTGGGTCAACTTCATAGTTAGTCCACTATTTAAAAAGCCCTAAATAGTGATTAGGGAGCATTCGATTAATCGTTTCCGCCCTAGAATTAACTACATAATCGGCTACATAAAAATCCTTAGGTAGTGTTCAGGAGTGTTCAATTGATCATCTCTTCCCTAGAGTCAACTTCATAGTCCACGATATGAAATTCTCTAAAATAGTGATTTGGGAGTATTCGATTAATCGGCTCATCCCTAGAGTCAACGACATAGTCCATTGTATCAGGATGTATTCAAATAATTGTTTCAGCCCGAGAGCCACCAACATAGTCTGCTATGTAACCATGCCTAGGTAGTGATTAGGAACCATTCCATTCATTGTTTCCGCCCTAGAGTCCACTACATAAAAATCGCTAAATAGTGATTAGGGAGTATTCGATTAATCGTCTCAGGCCTGATGTCGAGTGCAGAGTCCACCACATTTTATATATGACGATGATGATAATTAGAGAGTATTTGATTCATGGTTTCAGCCCTCAAGTCAACTACATAGTCCGCTACATAGAAATCTCTACGTTGAGTCACTGCGATCAGAATCATTCAGTCATTCCCTGTTCATACTCACTTTGTAAGGATTTTTCGAGGAAGTATATAGGGTCCACTATCTAAAAATCCCAAATACTAATTAGGGAGCAAGAAATGAGTGAATGATTCCAAACATAGCCTCCGACTTTATTCATCGTACAATGGTGATTTAGAACTGCTTCTATCTCAATGGAGATGACCTCGAGCACACACTCTTATATGAACTGTAACAGTTTTTGTTTTTTTTTTAACTTCATTTCCTCTATTTATTTCTATTTATTGTCTATTTAAGCCGCCTGGGAGCATGGTGTTATTTATGCAAAGTCACGTTTGCAATGTGAACCTGTATGTCTTGTCTGGTACAAATAAAAAATGCACTCAATCACTCCCTCGAGGGGAAGTTGTCAAACTGCTCCAGCCGGCCAGGCCCCCACACAAACACACATGAGCTCCAAATCCCTGCACGGGAAGCAAACAGTCCCTTTGTCTGGCCAAAATTGGGAATTTCCTCTGTCTTTAGGATTGCAGTGTCAGATGAAGGCCCAGAGAAGCCTCAGCCCACAGTGGGGTTTCCCACCCCATATTCACCAAACCGCGCACCTACCACACATACCACCTCTGTAGTCAGCTTTGTGTCATAGACCAGCGGTTATTCAGACTTTCTACACCAAGTCCACCCAACCCCCGCAAAAATAAATAAAAATAAATAAAAATAAATAAAATACTTTGACTTAAGTGCTCATCAAAAATGAAGCAGAGGTTTTATTTTCTAAAAAGTACATGCGATATTATTGTAAGCCATGATAACATTATGCGTAGTTTTCACATTAACACTACGGTAAATACAGGAAAACAAAAGAAAAAAAAAACGTGCTTACACAAGGGGTCATTGGCAGCATGGTTGCATGTTCTCCCTTTGGGTTTTCTCCTACATGCCCCAAAACACGCATGTTAGCTTCATTGGAAACAAAATTGTCCTTCGTGTGAATGTGATTGCCAATGGTTGTTTGTCTGTCGTGCATGTGTCCTACGATTGGCTGGCAACCAGTCCAGGGGTGATTCGATTTATTTATTTGTTCACCAGTTACCAAAAAAAAAAATGCTCAATGTTGGGCATCCCCTGCTTTGTGTTGGTAAATTGTTCTAGAATTTGCCACTGATGACTGAAGACCATTTGACCAAAAAGCGGTGCGCCTAAATGGAATAAGGCAGTCATCTTTATCTGTGGCTCTGGTGGTCATGCTCAAAGGACCACAGACTGTTTTTTTTTGATAGATTCCTTTAGCGTGAGACGACCTTAGTCATTTAAGATTTTGTAAATCATGCAAGTATTTTTAACCCTTTCAAGCACCCTGTAACCTGATAACATGAGAAACTGTCCACTGTAGTAACCGCTGTCCCTGAAAGGGTTACGTTACAAAAACTCCTTGATTTCTGCATTATGCTGCAGTCCTGATAGGATTGTGGCTTTCTATCAAGGAATTAAAAGGCTCTCTTCTGCAGTGCCTCCAAAGGAGGGAAAACACACTTCACAGACCAGTTAGTCACACAATATCCTAAATGTGTGAAATGTGTGAAAATCATTGCATGTAGACTCTATCCAGCCATCTCTGTATGCACACACACACACACACACACACACAGAAAATGTTTTCTAAACACAAGAGGATGGAAGCGTGGTTGCCATTCTGCGCATTTAGAAGTGCCTACTATGTCGGGAGATTTTCTCTGGACGTCTACACTGCTAGAAAAAAAAACCAGCTTAGACCAGCAGGGTTTACACTGAGCCAAGTTTCGAGTGTTCAAAACCACTACTTTTCTTTTGCTGCTGGTCTTGCTGGTGGGACCAACAAGACAGCACAAAAAAAACAAACAAAAAAAAAACAAAACCATGTCAGTTTCTGGTTTTATTGAGCAGGCTATTAAAAACATCTACTTGTCAACAACCAGCTTCACTCGATTAATTTTTTTTAAGGGGGAATATCTGGCAATGCAGTCCCAAAATACACGTTTTTGTCATTGTTTTCAAGTCAGTGATAGTCAATCATGTATTGGGATGTCTACTTTTTAGAAACATTTCTAAAGTATCTATAAAAAGTTAAATCAATCATCAAAGTGTGCGACTCACTCATTGTTCTTGCAACAACATTTTTCCTTCCACCTCTGCCTTCCTTCTTCTTCCTTGTGGTTTCATTCTGGTAGTCTCTGCCAAGGAGGTCATGAGGCGGGGCGGGTTTATCAATGCATGAAAACTGCAACCCAATCCTGCAGGTATCCATTTGATGTGCCGGTAATTGGCAATCGAAGTGGTGATGGCATTCTTGCCGTAACAAACTTGTTTGCGTACACCAATCTAGAAAGTGAACAACAGAACAATGCTTTAATAAAAGACAGTTACTCTACTTTGGTGATCTGTTATTCCGGAACTATCAAACCACCGTTTTATAGTGGAAACATTAGAATATGTTTAAACACGCTGACGTCGGATGTAAAAGAAATTCTGAGACACTAGTGTGATCATTTGATCAAGCACCGATTCAGTTTATGACCATTATATTTTCTTTTCTATTTTTCTTATTTTTGCAACAAGAGAAGGCTTAGCCATGCATCTTTCAACTCTCACAAGCTGCCCTACCACAGGAACTACCAAGCTAGGCGTCATTGCAGAGCTAGCCGGAAGTAGTGGCGCAATATATATTTTACTTTCTATGTTTCTTAATATTATTTCTGCAACAGGAGAAGGCTTAGCGATGCATCTTTCAACTCTCACAAGCTGCCCTACTCCAGGAACTACCAAGCTAGCCGTCATTGCAGAGCTAGCCGGAAGTAGTGGCGCAATTTAGGGAACATTTAAACACTTGACAAGTGTTTTGACTCAGAACTTTGTGCTACTGCTATCCATAATAAAACTCAATGATAAGTGTTTTGAACTTTGTGCTACTGCTATCCATAATAAAACTCAAGAGACTCGAACGCAAACGAGCAACACAGGCATTATCGTGTGCTGGTAACAGGTAACTGCAAACTTACCTCCAACCAGTGTTGCCAACGCCTCAAACGCAAACGAGGAACACAGGCATTAACGTGTGCTGGTAACAGGTAAATGTGCAAACTTACCTCCAACCAGTGTTGCCAACGCCTCAGAAAGGAAAGTAGCTGTCGCTAAATGATGTCATTAGCCAATTTGCATAATTGACCATGTGCACGCTGAAATGGACGCTGAAGGAATGGAATAACGTCGTGGGAGGGACAAAAGGTGAAGTAAAAAAAACACCTTAACCCTCGTGTTACAATTTCTACAATTAGAAATTAATTTTCTTCTGTTGATTCTTGTTTCTTTTATTATCACAATTCCAACCCTCCTCCTTTATCTGGGATTGGGACCGGCAAAAATGAACCAATGGGCTTTTACCCTTTTTTTCTAGTTCCTTCTAATTTTTTTTTTCTTAAGTTTGGTTTGGTCACAATGAAACATGAACGTTTTAACCTTATTGTTTTTTTGTATACAATCTACATTTACGATCTATCCAAAAAGAGACAATAGAACCCATTTTAATGGCAGTTGAGAAAAAGGTTACATTTGTTTTTCAGACCGCTTTTAGTGCTGCGAGAGGACTGGGCCGCCTGTGAGTGCTCTGGGACGGTGGAGATGTTGACGGAAGTACCCGCTGCATGTCGAGAACAATTAGAACGAGAAGTCCTTTCACATCAAAGTGTCCATTAACACCAAAAAGAAGTCGCTTGATTTGTCGCTAGGCGCTGTTTTGAAAAGGAGTCGCTAGAGGGGTCAGCAAACTGGCTAAATAGAGCGAGAACGTCACCAAATTGGCAACCCTGCCGCCAACAGATGAAACGGGGTTTAAAAAAATAAAACGGGGCGCAAGTGCGTCACGTCATAACACCAATGCATTGTGGGACTTGAAGTTTCAACTTCAATGAAGCACGTCAACCTAATGTAGTGGCATCTTGTGGACACGTCCGGTGAGTTACCTTTATGTCCAAAAGTATTAAGAACAGTTTGAGTTTCTTATTATTTTAATGTACTCTATCTATCAATAAAATCATAGTCTAAGAATAAGTATAAAGTTAAGCACCCATGAGGTCATTTCATTTATAATTTGACAAAATTTGCTGTCCACTAAAAGAAATTAAAGAAAAACTGATTTTATTGATTAAACTCACTTATTTGCATACACATATACGGAAATATATTAACATTTATAGTATGATCTTAGATAATACAGTGAATACAAATATGACCTTTTCCACAAACATTGTCATACATGTGCAAGATTTACCAGAGTAGTTTTGCATTCATGACGTACTGTCCATGATACACTGTGATATAACTGCACGCTTCATAAATATATATAAATATGGCCTATTAATTTCATTTGCCGAGCCACTCCCGCACCCTGAGCTAACGTGGATCACGAAAACAAAATAAACTGTTAAAGTGCCCGTTGAAATAATCTACAAGACATAGGTAGCGCTTAAAAAAAAGTCAGTGTCTTTGAGAGTTTGGAATAATCTTCATCTGACTGCCTTGTTTTAACAAATAGGAAAAAATATATATATTTATGAAAAAAAAAAAACTAAGTATGTGTAACTAAAACAATACGAAGAAACCAAAACCACGTATTAAGCGTTTGGGTCAATATCATCATAATTAACAATATTGTCATGTCATGTGACTGCTTCACTTTACCAAAAAGAAAACAAGATTTGTCTGTTAGAATATGTGAGCAGGATGCGCAGACCAACATCATGTCGTTTCACTTTGCTAAAAAGAAAGCAAACGTTTTTTGCCAATTATATAGAAACAAATCTGTGAAATTAATTCAGATAAAAATAATCCAGAATTTCCATGACATCTGAACTGTGCTTGTCATTTGACTCTGTCACTTAGCTAAAACAAAACAAAGAAGACTGGGCTTTGAGGCTCAAAGTATACAAAGCTAATTGAAGGTGTAAAAATGAAATAAGACAGAATATCAAAATTGTGTCGTTGGGGGACGTGAACTGTACGTGCAGACTAACATCAACGTCATGACATGTGACTGCTTCACTTTACCAAAAAGAAAAACGACAACATTTGTGTCAAAAAATATGAACCTCGAAAGAAGTGTAACAAAACTTTGATGGAAGAGCTTTTAAAACTAACTTGTCGAGCTTGTGTGAACAGCGCGTCAAGTTGTCATGTTGCGTGACCGCTTTACTTCACCAAAAAGAGAATAATGTCAACATAAGGTAAAGAATCTCAGCTGTGCTTGTCGTGTTCATTATATGTACACAAGTAGAAAGTTCTTTGCGCATGCAGGTACATTTCATCTTAAATTACGGCGTTACCGTAACAGCTGACAAAAGTGTCTCTGATGTTTAATCGGGGGGTAAAAATGTCAAACGCCGTCCTCGTCCCTTCTTCGGTGTTTATGGCTAAAAATGTCTTGACACGCACACGTGACAAAAACAGGACAACGGGACCACAGAGGTGTGCGTGCGTGTGTGTGTACATTAAAGACACAAAGGTTCTGTAATGTCTCCCCAAAAGTTCAGGATGGGGGACTTCTGTGCTGCAAAGTCTGGAGATGTGCTTGCTGTTGCCACGGCGACCAAGCGCTTATATCCCATCACAGTGTCAGGTGGCAGAGCCGGTCCAAGCCTCCATCGGGCAACATTTGATTCGACTTTGGTCCATGCACTAGTATGCTTTGTACTCACTAGTAAGACGATTCAGCGCAGTAGTAAAACAAACTTGTCGTGCTATTCACGTTTTTTTTCCATACTAAAAGTGCCAGATGTCAACTAGTAGAATATTTTGTGATGAGTACTACTACTACCAGTAGTGGTAAGAAAGTTGTTTTCCAAGTGGACTGAGTTGTTTTGGCAACAGAGAGTGTACTAGTACATGGACCTTGAGCTCAAACGGCTTTCATTGGGCCCTCGATTTCTGCCAATAATGTTGATTCTTGATCATTCGTTGTTGATTTTTGAACAAATACATAGAACTGAACTGAGGTACCTGGAATAAGGTGAAAAAGCACACACGTACTGTACATGCACACACAGACACACACACGGACAGAATTGCACCTGAGACACACACACACACACACACACACACACACACACACACACACACACACACACACACACACTCTTCCTTAGAGCATATGAGATGTGCATTAACATACCCGGAACACACACTACAATTAAAAAACACACACACTCACACACAGGGGGTACACAAACATGCACATGAAATATGGATGCACAAAATAGAAATAATTCGCTGCTAAAGCTCGGTAAAAATGTGCAAAAGCTTTAGTTAAAGAAACACTGTAAATAAAACCTGATCTAAACAATCTTTTTTATGTTACTCTGTTCCTCCCCAATAATGCCCCCCCCAAAAAAAAGGAAAGAAAGGAAAAATACAAATGAAATATCCGTCGACTGTAAATTGCTCATGTAGGGCCCCTAGTGGCTAGCTTGCGCCTTGGGCCGGCTCTGTCAGGTGGTGTTGATGCCCCAGTGTGCCCACCCGCCCCCGTAACGCGTACCAGGGTCCCGCGTTTTCCCCACGGTGCGGCCTACTTGTAGAGCAGCGGAATCTGGCTGTTGTGACAGTGGTTGCGGCTCATCTTGCTCTCTGCCGGGTACAAGTTAGACGAGTTGGAGAAGGACGGCGGTAGTGAGTGATTGTCGGCGCTCGGGTAGCCCGGCGGGGGCAGCAGGGATTTGGGGTCCGTCTGGGACAAGGGCGGCGGCAGCGGGGCATTGTGGTTCTGGTTCTGGCCGGCCGACGGGCGGCGTCGACTGCGTAGAGCTTGTCTTTCGGCCAGCTGGTTACGCAGTGCGGACACGCGCTCTTCTTTCTAAGCCACAAATGGAGATATAACTTTTTACTGGTGTGCACAAAGGTGACACACTGAAAATAACACCCACACACACACACACACACACCCACACACACGCACACACACGCACACACACACACACACACACACACACACACACACACACACAGGGACAGACAGAGTGTTGCGTTGTTGCGTCGCATGGACCTCCTGTATGATCTTCTGCAGCTCCCTGTTTTCTCTCTCCAGCTGCCGCGACTTCTCCTCGTCGTTGTTGTTGGTCGACGAGCCCGTCTTGAGCGTGTCCTGCTGCTCCGACTGCCACTCGCCGCGCGTGATCAGACGACGCATCTGCGCAGGAGGACACGAATAAAGGAAAAATCGCATTTATATCACATAATCAGTGAAGAAGAAATATTGAGGCTATTTATTATTCATCATCTCATGAGCATTTTTATTTTATTATTAGCTCAGCACAAAACCAAACAAAAAGGAAAATAAGATGATTATTTAGCATTCGTTAAAAAGTAAAACTTTTGAAATGAAATAATTTATTGGAGCCTGTATACTATTTCGCATTGATCTCCCAACCTTTTATAATATAACAAAGTGCAAATAAGAAATGTCATATACTAATGAATGAATGATGCTTTGTTAATCAAGGCAAAAAAAAAAAAAGTGTCATCTGCAAAGTTGCACTACTCAGACATTCCTGCAGAGGGCAGTGTTTCCACTGCAATCCTAATGTTGCTGTAGTTTGACTCTCGCACCTTTGGCACAAAGAGCACCACCAGGGTGATGTAGGCCGAGAAGACGATGGCCAGGGCGGCGAAGGCGAAAGAGGCGTCCTGCTGAGAGGATAGGATCATCGTCACCGGCGCTGTGATCAGACACAGCACCTGCGGGAGGGCACAGACTGATTCAGTTTGAGCAAGGACTTCCACCAAGGCCCCAAATGTGCAGACAGTAAGCCGGTAGCTGGTAACTCACCGCCACGTTGTAAATGGCCATGCCCACCGCCCGGTGGTCGTTGATCTTCTCTGTGGAGACGGACTTGGTCTCATAGGCCAGGAAGATGCCGAGCAGCAGCAGCAGACCCTTGTAGCCGTAAACCACACCTACAGGGGGCAGTGTGGGACAATTTTTTAACCCATTTTGATTTAAGAAAAAAAAGCACTGTATTGAATAAAAAGCTAATAAAACAAAAAAGAGAATATGCGGAAATAAACTGGTTTTAGTGTAATAACTGTACATTGGCACACGCGGAGTCACAACGACAAATGTTGGCGCGTGGCCTCATGAGCAACCTCAGGAGCTCAAGTGGCCGAGTGTGAGCGCACGGGGGTGAATTCTGCCGACAGCAGCTCCTTGCATGTCGTTGTCATTTTGTATTTGTGTGTTGGACTGTCCCATTCAATAAATGGCTAAAAGTGCAACAGTGACTATGGCTCTCCTTGCCCACACACGAGGGCATGACAGAACCTTAATCACTCCATTTTTATTCCCTTCTTTCGAGTTGATGCACTTAAAAGTCAAGGTACTACTGTATGCAGAGATTCTTCAACAAACCTTGGACCAACTGTGCTACTGTTCCTGTTCAGAGAGCATCTTGAGGCCTTTTAGGGCATTTCAGTGAGTTTTTGTAGACGATAACACGTTAAAAAAAAAAACGAGGATAAGTGAAATTGTGACGAGTGAACCTTGAATGTGAAAAACGGATTCCCAAAAGAAGCTGGTGGCAAAGAAAAGGCTCACGGCAATGTCAAGAATTTTGAAAAATGATATAAGATTGAACAAGTGCAAGTTATCTGCCGAAGGTTCACATCCCAGTGAAACCTTAAATGCTGCTTATCCAAAACTATCCATCCATCCAATATATCTTATCCTCACGAAGGTCGCAGGCATGCTTTAAGCCATCCCAACTGCCGTCGCGCAGTAGATGGGGGTACACCCTGAACTGGTTGGACTTTGAATCCAGTGATCTTAGTTCAAATCTTGGGACATAAAACATGTTGAGCTTTAATGATGTGTCTGCGTCCCCCCCTTGCTCTCTCGATACAGTCTGAATGTGTTTGATTCCTGTTCTTAGCTGTCTCTTATTTGGAAGTTGAAAGTGCAAGAAATCACTCGGCATCTTGCTGACTGACAGAGAGAAAAAAAGAAGAGAATAAAAGCAGCGGGAGAGAAAAAAAAAAATAAGGCGTCTTGCCGCTGTCCATTGTCTCATCTGGTGCGACGCCTGTGAAACGCTACGAGGCCCTGACCTACTTTGTGACCCAGATAAGGAGTTCAATGTGAGCGCCATTGTTCTGTCATTAGACGCAAGGAGTAACAAAACGAAGACGGAGAAAACTCACCAAGCCATGTGTTCATCTTCTCGGAGCTGCAGTGCTCCAGCAGAGGCTGGATCAGGACGTCCAAGTCCACTTTGGGGGCCTCCCTGGTGAACTCCTGCTCCAGATGGGGAGTTGATAGGAGAGGAGTTTTTGTTTTTATTGGTTGATAGTTCCAAGTGTCACAAAGACAACAAATATTTAGCGTCAAAGTCACTCTTCTGTTTGACATACAGTATTTCCTTTCACAGAAAGCTCATTTTCCCCAACTTTCAAGTCAGAGAGTGTTTTTGGAGTAAAACCGACCCAAGTTTTTTTTTTTTTGTGGTTTTTCGTCAATCTAGTGCTTATATAGTTGCTGAACGCAATATTGAGTCGCTCCCGAAAGACAAGTCAAAATACACGAGAGAGAATGTGCCACAAGATGGCAGAAAAGCACAATTTTCCTATTAAACAGGGCTATGGCCTAAATAACTGAACCACATAGGTCCTTTGCCAATATGCAACACGATGGCAACAAAGCACTACTTTTATGTTAAACGGGGCATACGCAGTAATTTCGCCGAATAAAGGTCCACTATTTTCACGCTGACGTGCAAAACGCCATAGATGGGCTCATTGCAACTATACAGCTTCAAACAATTGCTACTTGGACATAGACAGAGCAGCAACACATACAACGAAAAAAAAAGCGTACAACAATACTCACAGGCATATATTTTCTCTACTCTGTGGAAAATGTAGTGCACTTGGCGGTAATTTTACCTCCACGGTAATGTGCAGCGGGTCCACGATCTGCCAGATGACCAGTGACAGAAAGTCTACGGCCAGCAGCACGCCCACCGTGGCGTACAATTTCCATGGCTCCAGCTGTTGCTAAGTCAAATGCACAAACAGACGGCAAACAAACGACACACGACAAAAAAGAAACAATGTCAGCCAGGTAAGTAAATGTGTAAAACCTTCCATTTTAACAATAAAATAATACTCGCTGCTCATTTTTCAATGGTCAAGTTTACAATTCTTTTATTTGTATTATTTCATATTATTATTAAAAACTCGAGAGCAAAAACTGATCATTTTATGGTTTTCCTAAGATGTTTGTATTTCGTGTACAATTGCATATTTTGACCCTTTCATGCACCCTGTAACCTGAAACATGATCAGCAGTCCACTGTAGTAACCGCTGTCCCCAAAAGGGTTAAAACACAAATATTAATTCATTTTTATTGTACTTTTCATAAAGAATCTACGAATCATAAAGGAACAATTTTTTTGGGCAAAATATAAAATAGAAACTGGTTCAAATGTATAATATTTTTATTTTACGTAAAACTGTTTGTTTTCATGAAGCATAAATATAATGTACAAAAATGTACAGAAAGTAGAACTACCTGAGAAATCAACGAAATTCAGTAACCAAGTAAACGTACTTCCCACCTTAAGTGTTGCTTCTGAATGCATCAGCACCGACTTCGGCTTTAAGCGTTTCTTCACAAGCAGCATTTTTTCCCAGACTGTTAATACTCATCCATATTCATAAATATCCATAAATATTGCACTCGCCATTTTGAGATTAAGAAGTGGAGTTAAGTGTATCTTGCGGGGCCTTCAGGTTGAATTATATCCACAAATACAAAAAAAAAAAAAAAAAAAAAAGGCCAGTTGAGGACAACCACGGCCAAGATAACTGAAGATAAGTGTGCTGCGTTCATGACAGCTGGGAAAGAAGGATGGTGCCTCTTGGGAGACGTACAGGCTGAGATGTCAATCCACTGGGATAAAATTTGCTTGAAACCCTCGCCATGTCTTGAAACCCTAATTTGAAACCTAATCTGAAACCCCAACTGATTTATTTGAACCAGAACCTTGTTTTAAACCTTAATTTTCAACCTTTTCTTTGAACCCCTAATTAAAAACTCTAATCCTGATTTGAGACTAAACCTTCATTTTAAATCATAACTTGAAACCCGAACCCTGGTTCGAAACCCTGATTTGCAAATTTATCTGAAATTTGAACTTTATATGAAATCCTAATTGAAACTCTAGCTTTTGCTTGAAAACCGAACTTGAAACCCTGTCTTCAAACACTAATCCGAACCTGAAATCCAAACCGCGTTTTAAAACCAGAATTTAAAACTTTGCAATCCTAATTTGAAACCTTGACCTTATTTTCTAAACCATAACCCAGGCATGAAACCCTAATTTGAAGTACTAATATTGACTTGAAACCGTAGAACCTTAAAACATGACATTATAATTCAAAACCCAAACCGGGGCTAGAAACCATAAATAGAAACCCTATCCCAGACTCAAACCCAAAATCTGTCTTGAAAGTCTAATTCAACACTCTGTTTAAAAAGCCTAATTTGACACCCTAACCCTGGCTTGAAACCTTTATTTTAAAGCCGTACCTTCTTTTTTTCCTTTTTTTCATCCTTCTTGGTGAAGAGGGTGTGGACCCACCAAATCTTAGTGAACATGCTGCCGTACGCCAGGCTGAAGCCCAAACCCAGCAGCCACAGACGGAACTGCAGGGTGGGAAGACAAAAAAAAAAAAATGTTAATTTGAGAGCAAAGAGGAGTCCTTCGGGTGCAGCCTGAGCATGAATATTAGACTTTGGAATATTAAACTTCATCTGTCATTGACCCCAAAGGTGGACCAGTAATTACTAGCACAGAACTTGTGTAGATCCCAAAGATACTTTAAAGGAAAAGCAATTTAGCCATTTCTACTTTTTGTTATTTTATTTCAAGTTCTAAAGGGCAAAAAAAAAAAAAAAAAAAAAAGGCAAATTAATGTTCCAATAACATTCTCAACATCAACCAAATCCATCTGGATTCAACCCAATATAAAAAAAGTTTCATTTTACGTCAGTAAAATTCACTTGCACATTAGCGACCCAAAGAAGGTTACAAAAAAAAAATCAGATCTCAAAACCGATCAACAAGAAATTAAGTGGACAAGTTGATCTTATCAGGACAGACAAAAAGGTCTCCAGAACCCATGCCTGAAAGTGGACAGGAAGTCGGCCATTCTGGTTTGAAGCAGCCATTTCAGTGGACAACGGCATCAAGCACTTGCTGAACATTTCAATGGTTCTCGGAAAGCTAGGAAAAACTAGCACCCAATCTGAGTTTTATCGATCGACAAGAAATTGGGTGGAAATATCTATCATAACAGGAAAAAAAAAAAGTAACACGGACCCAAGTCTGAACAGGAAGTCTGACGTTTTGGTTTGAAGCAAGTCATGTTGGCGGTGGTGCTTCGCTTACCTGGCAGACGACGGGGAACTGCGATCGGTGTACGTGATGTCCGTCGATACCGAGCGGGAAGACGGCGGCCAGAGCCATCATGCAGCCCGCCGCTGTCATGTTGTTCAGGTACGGCTGAGAGTTTTGGATGTAGCTGCAATAGCATACATACACGAATCGTCACTGACACAAATCGGATTCTTTTGGTCGGTTTGGTGTTTATGTTGTGACAGAACACAATATTTTTTTGTGGGTCTTGAAAGCTTGTTGAAAATGCTCTAAAATGGAGAAGTCAAGATGGCTGCTTGGAAAATGGATGGCAATAAATGAGTTAAATTCTTTTTTTTTTTTATATATCATTAAATGGGAGTGAGAAATAAATCATCTTGAAGCAAGCACGCTGGGCATCTTATTTGGAGAACTGATCGATCAAGTTCGTGAGAACAGGCGCAAAGGAACATTTGAAATTGTGTGTTCATCCATTTTCATGAGTTTACATGTGTTCCAAATGTGTCAGTTAAAATTATACAGTATATACATGACAAAAAATTAAGAAATAAAAAAAAATATATATGGTCTCTCCATGCTACGTATTTCCACCGATCGCGGGTGGTCTGAAACATCCTGCACGATAAACGGGGGTTCACTCTATTCAGCCAGCATGCAATCACTTGAGCAAACATTTCGTACTGGTTTGTCCAGGTAATGACTTTTGACAAGCCTAAATGCTCCAATTGGACGTGAAGTCGCTTGTCAGTGTGAGACTTCCAACCGAGAGCGACTTAATGAAAACATTTGATGTGATCCGACACTCTTCCCTCAGCAAAATTGCGTGTGAAATCTAATCAAAGCCGGAGGAGATCCACCGCGGCTTTCCTCCAACCCCCGCGGAAACTGCCGGAAACTCCTGATGAGCTCACCGACATATTGGACTTGAGATCAGCGTGTCCAGGTCAAACATAAATTTAGCATGTTGGATAGCCCGCAGAGAAATCTCAGATCAAAAGGCATTTTTGAAGGATTTTGGTGCGATCATTTCCTTAAGCTACCTGCTGGGATTGTGAAGAACCTTGCCGCCCACCCAGTTCTGGGAACGTGAGGCTAAGAAACATGGGAAATTAAATATCAAATAACTTATCTATCCATCCATTTTTTTATCCGCTTATTCTCACGAGGGTGCTGTAGCGCTGGAATCAAACCCTGCACTTATGCGCTGTGAGGCGGACGTGCTCACGAGTGCCGCCATTCCTCTAAATTCAAGAAATCAGTAACTTTGGAAGCTCCAAGTGGTGATGATATGCATGGACTCTTACCGCACGTTGCCGTTATAGATGTTAAAGGTGAGACACACGACACCCAGCAGGATGCCGAGGCCGGCAAACACGGACACGGCGGCGAACAACTTCTGCGACAGGAAGCGGTACTCTTTCTCGACAACCGTGCGATCCGCTGGAGGCCCCGCCCCTAAACGGAGAAATTCAGCACATGCAGTCATTTCACACACAGGTCTAGAGAAAGCCATTTGTGGATTTTTGTGATCTTCTAGATGTCCATCTTAAAGGAGATGTCAATTCAACAGTTTCCTTTGCAATAATGTGTTCGATGCGCCGTCACTAGACTAAACACGGTATTATGATTAATATTGCGTTTGTGGAATACGAGTTAAGCAGCCATTTTTCCACGTGCAGTGAAACTGAAAATGACCAGGTCGCAGTTTGCAAACATCACATGACCAAACCCAGAAAACCGATGAGTCTTGACGGTCCCTACCTGTGCCCAAAGGCACTGTGATGTCATATTCAAGCGACGGCAGGTGGAAGTACACGGCAAAAATGGCCGCCCCCTGAGACGGATAAAAATTGGTGGATTTTGCTGCTTAATCCATATTCCACAAACGCTATATTACTCTGACTGTTGTGTTTAGCCTAGTTAGGGTGCATAGAGCATATTACTGTAACATGTTATCACATCATTATTGAAATTAGAGGAGTGGGGGCGCATAGGACATAATTATAAAGAGCATTTTTGACTTGACTTCCCCTTTAAGATCCATGTGCTACTACTTGTACGCTCTCTGTTTTTAACAGCACTCTTGTAGGATATCAAATAAATACTCCAACTGATTTGAGATCAATTGGAGTATTTATTTATTATTCAACACACACGCACACGCACACACACACACACACACACACACACACACACACACACACACACACACAGTACTAGATAGTGAGTGAGTGAGCGAGTGGGCATGTTGTGTGCTAATTAAGAGCATGTAGTGTGGAGTTAAGAGCAAATGCTCCCGACGTGCTCCAGCTTCAAACCAACTTCATTGATCACTAATGAAGTTCAACGAGGGCCAGATGCACCAAGGAAAGCTTGTTTTGCTTTTTCTTTTTCTTCTTCTTTCTCTAGCCACACAATACACAAATGTGTGTGTGTGCGTGCGTGTGTGTGTGTGTGTGCGTGCGTGCGTGCGTGTATTTCGGTGAAAAGGGCTGATACAATATTGAAAGGCATGCATCGAATATTGATATTATGTATGAAAGAGAGAAATGGGGTAAGTCAGCTGGCGCATGAATGGGAGATAAAAAAAAAAGACAAAATATTGAGATCGTGATGTACCACATTGTTTTCCCTTTGGAGACAGTAGGAATACGTGATCCAGATTTTTGGGTCTATGTCAGGGAGAGCAATTGTGCACAGCGGCATATGCGTGTGCGAATGTGTGTTCATGAAATCATGATGCAGTGTATCTTTTTTTTTTTTTACATTACAGCATCGATATACAGTCAAATATAGATTTATGTGTCTATGTAAGACAGAAAAATTGGGTGCGACTGTGTGTGTGAGTGTGAGCGCCACGTGAAGCTTATGTGTCAAATGTCAGCATCGGGTGTCAGAGTGTCAGCCCCACGTCACCGCGGTAACACAACCGATGTCTCAGCGGCGCCATCTGTCTGACGGCTGACAAAATCTACTTCCCACATGACACCAGCCCGCCGTTTGACATGTGAGACAAAAAGTCATGTGAGTGGGATTTTTTTTTCCAGTCAGATTTTCCTTTTTTTTCCCATTAGGCATTGTTTTCGCCTTGACTTGTGAGCAGAAATTCGAGATGCAAATGGGCAGGCAACTCAACTCACTTCACAATAATGAACAGTTTTGTGAATTATTTATGATCAATTATTTGAAAAAAAGATCCAAGGTGTTTAATGCCACTCACAGTTCAAGATTTCTGTCAAATTAAAAATAAAGCAAAGAGAATTGTATGTTACGTATTTCAAACATCCACTTAGCTCAAGGCTAAAACACCAGAGACAGGCTAATAAATAGCATGTAACTTGGGGTATTAAAATCGCTTTCAGCAGTGGCAATTTGAACACAAACGGTAGAGCAACACATGCAGACAGATAATAATACTTACATGCATCTATTTTTTATCATCTGCAAAGAACGACTAGTATGTTTAGATTTATGTATTTACTTCAACATAAATATACTTTAATATATTTAATGAGCATTTTTTTTGTAGTTTCTTATGTTTTATTTAATCTGCATTTACAGTACTGATGTACTTTATTTGTAGTAGCAGCCCCCAAACCTTATTTTTTTCAAATTAAAACTACTTTCAGGCTCTGGTGATGGATCAAATATTGTACGTTCAATATTTAAGCAACATTTCTAATGGTTGAGGTGCTACACAAAGTTTCATACAAGCGCGAAAAATGTGGGTGTGTCATCGTGTACATGTGTGTTAACCATCGAGCGTCCTTGACTTTATAAAAAAAAAAAAGTGAAGAGAAAAGTGAAAAAAACATGAGAACAGAGTGTTGCCATGGAGACGCAGCTCAGTAGCAGTTGCCACAGCGATTAGAGGAGAGCTGAAGTGGTTGTTAGGGCGACTGTGGAGACAGAGAGAGAGAGAGAGAGAGAGAGAGAGGGAGGGGGAAAAGGAAGGTGAGAAGGAGGGAGAGAGTGATTGAGAGAGTGAAAAGGAGGTTGTCAAGGACGCAGTGGACAGGGGGATAGAGGGAGAGGTGAGGGAGTGGTGGCGGTAGGAACAGTGGTACCGAAGGAGGTGGTAATGAAGGGAATGGTGGAGAAATGGATGAAGGGGACAGGAAGGTTGGTATTGATGGAGCGAGGGAGAGGAGGAGTGATGGGAGCAGAGATAAGGGAGTGAAGGGGGAATGATGGAGTCAAGAAATTAATCATGATGAAGGATTACGGTGTGGTAAGAAAGTAGTGAAGGAAGAGGGACTCACAGGAAGCTACATGGGAGGGGATAATGGAGAAGGGAAGGAAGAAAATTAGCGGATGGAAGTGGAGCTGAAGGAGGGAGTAATTGAAGGAGTGATGAAGGCAAAAATGGAGGCAGAGAAGGAAGGAATAAATGAGATAGTTAAGAAAGGAGTAAAGGACGTTGAGAAGGAATGACAGAAGTAAGCAGTGTAGGACAGAGTCAAGTGAGTAGGAAGGAAGTAGTAAAGAAAGAAGAAAATGAGGCAGTGACGGGTGGTACATCGGGAAGGATAGAAGTAAAAAGTGAAGGAGCGTACAAAGGTATAGGAAGAAGTGGAAGGAAATAAGAAAGGAATTTGTGATGGAGGAAGTCCATGAGCGCATAAAGTAAGGTGTGCAGTAAAAGAGGGAAAAGGAGGTAGTGAAGCACAGAGAAAGGAAGGAAGTAGTGAATGAAGAAGTGAAGAGTGGAATGAACAATCGCCCCCACAGAGCGAGCATGAACTTCCTGTCATCCGCACTTGCTCGCTACCATGTGCGTTTGAGTAAAGCCATGCATGCTGCTGCTTTTAACAGTAACACATCATTTTCTTCAAAAGTCTCCTCAAAAAAAAAAAAAGGCCAGCTCTTCATGGAGCGCAGCGGCCAAATGTGTCAGCTCACCGGGGACCCCCAAATCAGCCTGGGTGCACCCAAAAACAGCACAGCGGTCAATGAACAGAAGTATTGGGACATAAACGCGGATAGTTAAATTTACGTGCTTCCCTCTAACCAACCACAGCATTCTGCACACATTCAAATGTATTTAATGATCAGCATCTTTGGTGGGAGTGATGTACGTTAACTAAAAAAAAAAAAAAAAAAGTTTCATGTCATATTACTGAACAAATACTGTTCGTGCGAGCATCAAATGGACTTTTTTTTTTCGTTTTACTGTTTTTGTGCTTTCTACTGTCTTTGTAATTAATTTATTGTTTTACTGTTTGTTGCTGTAGGATTTCATTTTTGCACCTTGTACAGTGCTTTGCATACAGTGGTGGTTGTTTTAAAGTGCTCTATCAACACAGTTGAGTTGAGTTGAGTTGAGTTGAGAAACTTTAGACAAAGAAGCGAAGGAACCTCCTCCACAACTCACCGATCCAGACGTCCTTGCCGAACCACGAGAGGTTCTTCTGAGAGCTGTCGTAGTAGCCGATCTTCTTGTAGCTGCCCTCTAGGGGGGATAAAAGAATGTATCCATTTATGTACAATTACAGTGAAACTTCAAAAATCAAATGGAATATTTTCCAGGAAAAATACGACCCAAAAATTGCAGAAAAAAAGAGTCAGACGTGCGTCGCTCTAATCAACCACAGCATTCTGCACACATTCAAATATATTTAATGATCAGCATCTTTGGTGGGAGTGATGTATGTGATCTAAAAAAAAAAATGTTTCATGTCATATTACTGAACAAATACTGTTCGTGCGAGCATCTAATGGACTTTTTTTTTCGTTTTACTGTTTTTGTGCTTTCTACTGTCTTTGTCACTAATTTATTGTTTTATTGTTTGTTGTATGAATTATTTTTGCTCCAAGTTCAGCACTTTGTATACAGCGGTGGTTGTTTTATAGTGCTCTATAAATACAGTTGAGTTGAGTTGAGAATTTCATCTGCTGCTTGTGCATCATTTTCAGTGTTATTCACCAATCACGCTTGGGTTTAAAACTATAAAGCTTCAAAGAATGTGTGGATAGCGGCAGCAGAACGTGCGCTCACCTTGGAGGTACATCTCCTCTCCTTCCGTAAACATCTGATTGCACCTGCTGCATCTCGCACAGCTGGGGTGGTAATGTTTATCTCCTGCCTGCAAAGCATACAGCACAAAGAAAAAAACCTGACTTCAGAGCAAAAGTTGCAGAAAAAAAGAGTCAGGTATTATTGTTTTTTTCTATTTTAGTGATTGCATTTGTAATTATTGAATCGCGTGAATATGTATTTATTTAGAAGCATTTGTATGGATCCAAAAATTGCAGAAAAAAAGAGTCAGGTATTTTTGGTTGCATTTGTAATTATTGAATAGTGTGAATATGTATTTATTTAGAAGCATTTGTATGGATTTTATGACAGTTGTACTTATTTTCGCGCTATTTAATGATCTAATTGTATTCGTACTTGTTTTATGCCATTTTTATTTATTTAACGGCTGATCTATTTATTTATTTATTGTTTATTTAACAACTGATCTATGTATTTATTTATTTATTTATTTATTTATTTAATGGATGTTTGGGGGAAAAAAATTGGCAATTTATGGAGGGAATGCTGAAAGTGTAAACAAAATAAAAAAGCCACACTCGAGCAAAGCGGTGAGTCAGCATCGCTGACAGCGCTGTGGTAAGTTGTATTGCACATCTGTTAAAAAAACAAAAAAAAAATCATCTTGTCATTAAAAATCCTTTCTCAGTCTTGTTTTTTTTTTTATAGTGCCATTCATAAGGTGCCACAAAAGCAAAAAAAATAAAAAATAAAAGTGTAAAAGTCACTGTTCTGCTTGACATATTTCTTTGGAGGGTGTAATAGGTGCAAACAATGACGGGCGCTCCAATAAGTCTCCTCACTCCGGTGCTTTTCATGTTAAGAATGAAAATGCGCAAGAGGAAAGGAGGCATGAGAAAACTAGAAGAGAAGGACAAACACAAAGGAGGAGGTGAGGAGGGGAAAAAAGGAGCTCATGTGGTGGCCTTGACCGCGAATAATAATGAGCGCCCTCGCAAAAAATTCCCCCCTGCAGATTCACGTCAGGTCATTTCACTGTGCGGGCCAAATTACCTCTGACACCACCACACAGCCTGACGTGAGGCTGGAGTGTGAAGGAGGCTCATCTTTTCAGGAAGAAAGTGAGAAAAGTAATCATCCCAAAAAGTCGTTAAGTGACAAACTGCAGCCTGGTGGCCCATCGCGCTAATCCAGCATCAAACTAAAACAAGCACGTTCTTTGCTCAGCGCAATTACAGAAGATACACAGGGCGGTTAGATGATGTTTGCAACCCCCCCACCACCTCCCAAAATAAGGATTTTGCTCAAATGTGAGTTGAGAATCCAAATATTCTACGGACAATTTAATTACAGGAGTGAATCACTGAGAGAATACGCAAAGGGAGGATGAAATATTGCTGCATGCTTTGAAGGGGTGATTTTTTTCCCTCCATATTGTCCCAAAAAGAATTCGTTCTGACATGATAGCGTTTCCGTTCCGCTTTAGCTCCTCTGCATTCACATGCAATTTCGACACAAATTGTTTTATCTCGTTTTCAAGTGAAATGAACAGTTTTACCTTGCAGCTGTTCAATGAGGGTCATTGCCATCCTGGAACCCTGAGCATCAAACACTACCTGGCCCTAAGAAAAAGACATTTTTAAGGGAAAGAGCAAACCTCTTAGTTAAGATGGTGAACTTTGAATATATTCCACAAATTGAAAACTTTCCATGGGAATTATGGGAAAGAACTGAAAAAAAAGTCATTCAATGAAAAGGAAACATTTTGGCACTTTCATTTAAACATTCTGTTTTTCATAAATAGACATCTGTGCCAAACAGACAGCTCTCCTTGCCTACATATGAGGGCATTACAGTACTTAAACACCAACGTTCGATTAAGTACATTCCTGTGCTACTCCGATAAATTCCTGTTAATTCCCTTGGCATGTTTCCAACTTAGAAAATGGATTTGCGTCTTGAAGCCAAACCTACCGAAACGCCTTCAAAGGAGCTAGTGTTGAGTGCCCGATAGATCTCAGATGTGATGTCTTTGTTGTTGTAGTTGAAGTCCTCCAGCCGCCGCCCCTTGGCCTTGAGCGGTGCCACCGTCTTATTGAGGGCCAGCGCCAGGGCCCAGATGGCATCGTAGGCCAGCGGGGCCTCCTGGAAGCCGCCCGTCTCCTCAGGATTCTTGACGCCCAGACGGGAGATCAAGGCAGCCAGAAATTCCTGGGATGTCTGATTGAGCCGAAAGGCGAACAGAAATAATTACATACGGTAAATTTGGGGCTTATTGACAGCAATACCGAGTAATAGCATAGGCTCATACCATTTCGTTGCTTGTTATGCCAAATTTCAACTTTTCAGCATGAGGTGGTTCAGGAGCAGAAGAGCGCAAATTGCTTTCAATTTTCCATATTTTAAGTTTTGTGGGGAGCATTGAGGTAAAAGCACAGCCGAGAGAGCTGCGGAGATTCGAGTTTTGGCCATTTTTTACATTTCTGTCGGTCGTAGTAAAGCAGCAGAAGTTTCAAATGTGCTACCATTTAAGATAATGTGAGTTTTTGACTCCGAAAACTTTGGACCCTCAGTGGGCATCCGAAGTCAATTCAACATCAATAATGACATCAAAATCCAAAATGCAACATTGAATTGATGTCAAATTGTTGTGAGTAGTGGGATGGCTGGGATCAATTTGGGGGTCTAATTACAGTGCCACCATGTGGTCAATTGCTTGGAAAATTAACTAAGTATGGGTGTATTTTGTTGCGTCAAATTTTCACATTTTTGCATGCAGTGGTTCAGGGCCAATTATTTTAAATTGCCATCATTTCAGTTTTTTACAGTGCATCGAGCTGGACTTGATTCAGGTCACTTTGGAGCCTAATAATAGCACCAACATATGGCCGGGTTGTTTAAAAAGGTAATAGCAGAACCAATGTCACAAAGATGCATGTTTAGCCAAATTTTCACCTTTGGGCTTGCAGTGTTTCCAGAGCATTACTTTAGGAGGACAGTATGTGTCAATTCATCAGGATTTGTCAACAAAGTGTCACATGAACCTGAGATGTAATGATGGCCACAAAATAACCGCATTAAGTCTGATCGAATTCCATCAAAACACCTCACCACCTGTTTTGGGGCATAAATGAGCCTCGGGTGATTTGTCAGATCCGTCCTCTCGGCAGAGAGCAATTAAGCTAATCTGAGAGTGCTCATGTGTGACGGCAGATTATTGCTCGCAATCATCAAGATGTCCCCGAGGATTCCCCCGGAGGCCCACGCACGAGTCCAATTCGGCTCTCTGACAAGTCCAATTCATTAAAAAATTCCACCTTGGCATTTAAACGTGACGTGCGATCCCACCGCCTCCAGTGCTTGGCACACCAGCCAAGAAATATGCCAATTTCAAACTTGCAAATTGAATCGGAAATAGAGTGATTGCGCGTACGCGTCTATCGGAACGCCCCGTGGAGGAGTGCATCAATGATAAAGCAGCAGTTAGCAGCAGGTTGTGGCAGGTGCGCTATTTATTACAAACAACAGCTGCTGATGGGGGGGATGGAATTGCAAGGACGAGGCGAGGCGTGTAAACATGAAGAGCAAAAGTCAACAGAGCGGCAATCAAAAAAGGTCAATTAGAAGAGATGAAGCTTCAAAAACTTTGAAGACATGAAGCTTGAATTTTTTTTTTCTCAAAATACAGAAACCTTGTATGTCCAAAGATGGTCAATTGATTATGGAATTTAGAAAACAGGAAAACAATACTGACATATTTACAAAAAAATGTTAAAGCACTCTTTGCTTGTTTACTTTTTGGCCACAAAGGTCACCAAATGGTAATACCTTTTAGGATGGCGTCCTCTTTCTAGAAAAAGCTAAATGCTCACCCCTCTTCAGAGGCTTTAGATTATGTCACTGCAGAGATGAGCAAAAGGAAAATGCTGACAAAAAAAAATAATAATAAAATGTAACAACAAAATATTGAATAAGCGAGCATGAATCTTTCCCTCGAGGGGAAATCCTCCTTCTGTTGGGGAGATTTAGCAAACATTGCTGATAAATGCTCAGAATATTTATCGTTGGCTAAACACTGAGGCTAAGCATCCGTGCAAGCAAACACTTTTACATAACAATGAATTACTTGAATGAATTTCACATTGGCAAGAGTGCGGCTAAACTATTGCCGACAGTGCAAAATATCAAGGGAAAAACATACAGTGATAATCTTCACATCAGTCTTATTTTCAGCAATAACAGAAGTATACTAGCTTGCGGCACCTATCGCTAATGTTAGCTTGCAGACCGCCAAATAAAATGTGATATTTATAATCGAAATTAAGTCATATTTTCCAAGAACGCACAAGTCTAATAGCGAGTAGCACCTGGGGCAAATGTCAGTAAACAAATCACTGAAAAAATGTTAGAAAATGAGAAAACAATGCTAACAGTAAGTCGTACCTAAAGTTAACATTTGTTATCAAATCACGATGTAAAATGTATATTATTTTATATACATATATGTATTCTTGTTCGTTGTGGAGCCATCAGGCTAATAGCAGCCCCGACAGCCAATGTTAGTTAGCAAGCAAAATGTGATATTTATCATCTGAATGAAGTCATTTTTTTCCAACAAAGGCTAATCCTGAGCAATATTTAAACTTAATGTTGGCTGTCATACGACTTTATGGGCAGATGTATAAAATGTGACATTCGTCAACGGAATTAAGTCTTACTTTCTGAAAAATCACAAACATAATAGCTAGCGGCACCTCATGCTAATGTTAACGAGAGAGCATCTCCTCGGTGATACTGCTAAGAAGACAATCTCTGTGCTCATTTGGCCGCCTTAAAGGTCACAAATCCTCCAAACTGTTACTGGAGGACAAAGTCAGAGCCAAGTCATTAAAATTCTGCCCGAGTATCATAATATTAATGATAATGTCATACATTTTACGACAAACCATCCAATTAAAGTGGTGATTCTTCCCGGGGCCGGACCTGACTACAACCTTAATAAACTGCGTTAACGGCACGGCATTAACAATGCGGTGCTTATCGGCGTGTAAAAAATAAATAAATAAATAAAACCTCCAGGTGATAATGGACTTTGGCGACCAGGCTGCCCGAATTGATGTATTTTTCCATCGTGTTGGCAAAATTTACTTAGATGTTGAAAGCTGCCCTGGTTGTTGACAGTCCAGGGTGTACTCCGTCAGCTAGGATAGGTTCCAACTCACCCACAAGCCGACACGAACCGATAAGATATACAGAAAATATGTGAATATTAAAGGGCTGAAGGGTATGTTCAAATAAACCCACCCTATTTTGCCTACTTGGTTTTTTCCCCCCCAAAATGAATGAATATACATTTAAAATTTCCAGAAAAACAGTGTGGCATTTTCATTCCCTATTCATTATATAGTGTCCAAAACAATAAGTTTCCCTTGTTTTATTCTGCTGCTCTAATGTGTAGTGAGTATAGGTTAAGCAGGATATAGTGGCCTCAATCTCACTAAACATCTAAAAAGTAATGATTGACAACAAATAGGGTAAGATAACCAAAATCGTGTTTCTTTGCGCCTACCATGTTAGAAACACCGCGGACGGTCTCAGGATTGAGCATGACGATCTCGGTGGTCACGTGACCCTCCACGGCCTCCGTCATGTTCTCCACGGTGCAGTTGATGGTCGGGTCCTTGATCTTGAACCAGTTGTCAGCATACCAACCGATCAAGAACCACACGTACTTCTTCCCGTAAAGCTTCTCCTTGAACACCTGCAAGGGGGCGGCGTGGAAGGGAGGGAAGAGCGTCAGGGTCCATCAGTGGTGGTGGTCAAGGGCAGCAAGGCCTTCTGTGCTGGGTCAAAGCACTGAACGACATCCATCCATTTTCTAATCCGCTTATCCTCACAAAGGTCGCGGGCGTGCTGGAGCCTATCCCAGCTTCGGGTTGCCAGCCAATCACAGGGCACACATAGACATACAACCATTCGCGCTCACACTCACACCTAGGGACAATGTAGAATGTTCCATGAACCTGCCATACATGTTTTTGGAATGTAGGAGGAAACCAGAGTACCCCCCCCCAAAAAATACAAAATTGCATGACAGCTGTGTAGCCAAAGCCACCAGACGGGGCAAACACTACCTTTGTCTAAATGAAGCTCCTCAACTCACTTCAAAATCATTCGCTGACACCAAGATGCCAAAAGATGGTGGCAATGCACTAATTTTGTCTGAATGAAGCTTCTCAACTCAGTTGAACATAGTTTCTTGTCAACAAGATGCCTGAGCACAAAAGTAGTGAATAGTTGAGTGTGAATAAAAGTTGTGTGCCGCTATATTTCACTCTTGTACCGTATTAGTAATTTGTATATTTGCAACGTGATAGTGATGGTACTGAGAGGAGGATGAAGTACCCCAATGTATGAGGATCTGATAAAAATAAAATCAAATAAATGAATAAGTGTCACCTTATGTCATTCAATTGGCTCATCAAGTAAAGTCTGGGGAATTTGAGTGTATTGGGATTAATTGAGTGGAGAAAAACAAGTGCTCACCTCACAAAACACTTTCCTAGCTTCAGTCTCGTAAAAAAGACCCACGATGATCCTGGCGTCTTGACGCTGAAAACAAGACAGAAATACTTTCAGATTAACATCAGAAAAAAAAAAAAGAAAAAAAAAAAAGAAAAGAAAAGGTCGTGATTTAGGGTTAATCTCGTTTTTGATTTGAAAACAGATGGAATAGATCATCTGTAGATGACGCCAGAAAAAAAACATCTTTGTGTATGTGAAATGATAATGAAATACAATTTTTAAAAAGATATTAAATTGATTATTTCAATAATGACATAATTATTATTATTGCATTTTTAATGAATTTTCTAAAATTAATTTAATTAGTTACTTAAATTACCCGGTATGTGAAATCTAAAAAATATTTTTGAGACATTATGATCAACAATAAATAAACCAACTGTTTACCAACTGTTTGATTAAAAATCTTACATTTGCAGTACACATACAATTGGTCATTTTACTAATATTGTTTTATTTAATTTTTATAGTAAATAAATTAACCCAAAAAATGGTTTTGGTAGATGTAAAATAGTTTCTTTTACCAAATGTTTTATATTTTGACATTTACCATAAAGAAACCAATCATAAAATCAAGAAGAAACAGTAAATGCGCAGTATATGGAAAATTGTTTATTTTACTAATCATTTTTGTATTTTATTAATGAAAATGAATAAATAAATAACGAAAAGATTGAATCAACGAGCTTGCGATGTGCATGTTTCTTCTTATTTTATATTAGCCGGTATGCTAGCTCCTTCTTCTTCTGTAATTTTAGATTGTCTTGATGCCCTGCGGCGCATTGCTGCCTCTCGCATGTCAATCCCGGTACTACACCAGATTGCGCCAAACACAGACATGAAGACCTGCTACACCAGCGTTCTCTAGCAAGCCCAGATAACCAACATGCCTTCATGGCGGCCATTTTGGGAGGGACAACGTTCACAATTTTCATGAAGTGTCCTTTTTTGTTTTTCACAACATGTGCGATTGATATAGAACATTTGGAAAGAAAAAAAAAATGTCTGAATGCCCTGGGGCGCATTGCTGCCTCTCACAGGTAAATTGGGGCACTACGCCAAGTTACATGAACGACTCTTAAAATATAGTCTAGCTTCTTATTCTTCATATTTTCCCGAGTCAGAATCCCCTGTGGCTCATTGCTTCCTCTCGCAGGCCAGTCCAGGTACTGCGTGAAGTTCTTTGATCATGGCAAACTTTTCGATTGGGTGAACAAGAGCTGCAAGCCTCTTCATCACTCCTACAACTAGCTGAGCTTCATCATCATCATTGTATTTTCTTTCAGTACAGATGCCTAGTGGCATACATCGTTGCCTCAAGCAGGTCAGTTTTACTGTAGTACCACATCAGACACTGAGAGATAAGTGCAAAAACGAATGCAAAATGAATACGTCAAGCGAATACGAGCCGTTGATGTTCAGCATTCCAGAAGCTCAGGATCATCTCATTAACACTGCACATTAATTTCTGCCAACTGGCGTCCATGCTAATGATATTTGCAGCTGTGATGTGAGAGTGCCTGGAAGAGAGGATGTTGGGGGGCAGGGGGCGGCAGGGGTGGGGTGTTGACGCTAGAGGAGGGCTGGTTGACAGCTGAGGTGAATTTTTAATCAAAGCACCTTCAGATTTTTGACAGCCACAGCCGGGTCGGTTAGGAAGCTCTGGCGAACGCTGATCTCGATGCCGGCCTCCTTGACTCGCTGCTCCAGATCGTCCAGGGTCTGATGGACGGATGAAAACAAAGACACGGGGAAAACATCAAAGGCAGAATAGGAGTTATCTTTCAAGAAGATGCCGGATAAGGAGACAAAAGTTAAAAACCGCGAGCGGCGGTGGTGAAAAAAAGCGGATCATTAACCTCCATTACAGCGGCGCACAGTAAGAGTCTCCGTATTGACCGCCGCGTCTGCGAGAAATGCGCGGCGTGATCAATGTGCTTTCGCCACCAATATTCTGACAAACGTGTTGAAAAAGGAGTCCGATAATTACCGTGAGTGATCGCTGGAAAGAGCAACACAGCGTCAGCGGTAAACAAACACCAAGAAGATGCTCAATGGCTAATTAATCCAACCCAGTATGAAGCAAACCACATCAATGTAACCATATGAAGAAAGTGAATAAAACATGAACCAAATCAAGCATCCATTTGTGGTTTAACATGACTGCTTGGTTGCCTGCTCGTTATTTTCCTGTGATTGCATTCAAACGTTTCTTCCAAATACAGTCGTGGTACCTGAGTATAACTTTCGCCTGTTCCCTAAAAGAGGATACAATTTCCATGATGAAATTCAACAAGAGTTGAAGAGAGCCGTTGACAAATACACACACACACACACACACACACACACACACACACACACACACACACACACACACAAAAAGAAAAAAATAGACTCTTTGAGCAAGGTTAAGATTTATAGAAGGGACCTTCAGAATAAATCCAATGTTTTTCTCTTGGCCATAGGGTGTTTTTACTTGTGGTTTTGGTCACGTCATTCTGCTGTTGCAACACCTTTGACCTGCACATGGACGCCAAGATTTCTGACACTGGGCAGAACATTCGTCTTTTGAATAACTTGGTAGTCTTGAGATTTCATTGTATCCTGCACACATTTGAAGACACCATGTGCTAGATGCAGCAAAGCAGACTCAAAACATAACAGTAGGGACAATGTTGTTTTTTTCCCTGGTATGCTTCTGTGAACATGGAGCTGATGTGACTTGCCCAAAAAAAATTAAAAAAAATCTGTCTCATCTGTCCATCGGACATTCTCCCAGAAGCTTTGTGGCTTGCCAGCATGCCGTTTGGCCATTTTCCTATGATTGTTTTTTAAACACAGTTCTGCTGAACCACAATTCACAAGCAATGTGTAATGTTCATTGGTTCCATTTTCCGATCCGCTTTATCCTCACAAGGGTCGCAGGAGGTGCTGGAGCCTATCCCAGCCGTCTTCAGGCAGGGGACACCCTGAATTGGTTCCCAACCAATCGCAGGGCACACAGAGACGAACAACCATCCGCGCTCACAATCACGCCTACGGACAATTTTGAGAGTGTTGAATCGGCCTGCCATGCATGTTTTTGGAATGTGGGAGGAAACCGGAGTACCCGGAGAAAACCCACGCAGGCCCGGGGAGAACATGCAAACTCAAGGAGGCCGGAGCTGGGATTGAACCCACAACCTCTGCACTGTGAGGTCGACGCGCTAACCACTGGACCACCAGACCGCCCTATCGATCTATTTATTTATTTAATTAATTTATATATTTTTTATTTATTTTTTGTTTGGTTGGGGGTTTTTTTTTGGGTCCACCTGTGTAATTGTTCAACTTGTGAGGAGGTCTACGTTGGGGTGATGTGAGGTACTGACTGAGGTGAAGACTTCAGTGGTCTGCTGGATGGTGGCAATGCGGGTCCACTTCCACTTCTGGAAGAGCTGCACCCGGGTTGGGTTGTGCAGCGTGGCTGACGGGTGCGTGCGGAAGAAGGTGGGGAAACGCTGGCGATTGGAGAGAGCCGGCGAACTGGAGCCATACGAAAGCTGTGAAGAAGATGAACAACACAAACTTTGGAGAGAGAGGTCTGCAAGGCGGGGCAGCGCTAAAATGCCAAACGTTCAATGTTTCAAACAATTAGTCTCACGGTGACAAGTGGAAGGAAAAAAACCTTCGACAGATTTCTTTGAAAATGAGAAAGGTGGCATTTAGAAAACCATTACAGACGTTCCCTCCCTCCTCTGTGATGGATGTCAGACACGGCGGACAATGCGTACTCATCACAATAATCGTAATAACACATCCCTGAGAGTGCAGCGAGTAGATAATGTTCATCTAATGGCATCTAAGTGATGGAAAATTTGAACAAAGATGCTGTCAGACTATTTGGAGGTGCGAGCAGGGAAATTTAAGAGATGACAACAAGGAGAGCTCAGATCTCCATCAAGGAGGTTCTGGTGTCATTGCTGTCGGTTTATTTGTTTAATTAGGGGCCATTAAAATGGTGATGCGGTCTCACTTTGGTTGTACAATTTTGACCTTATATTTTTTGATGTGATTTCAATGTAATACGTTTTTGTCCGGGTCTGATTTTTTTCTCCAATACAGTGGCCATTCAGCACAATATTTAAACCTCAAACAAAATCTTTTCATTCTAACCCATCGGGTCTCCTTCAGCCCTCAAGCGGCAATCAATGCTCAACAGTGCTTTTAGAAACGGATACACAGGATCACATTAAAAGAGTGAAAACGGGAATGATTAATACCCTCTTTTTGATCCAGCAGGAACCAGAGGTTTTTCTTTGCCTGTGTTACAAAAGAGGCACCTGCAGGCTGTGGTAGCAAAAGTATACACGCCATTACTTGAAGAGAAATATATGGGTGGGGGGGAGAGGTCGGTTAAAAGTACTGATTCAACTCAAGTAAAAAAAAAAAAAGGAGAGTATGAAATACTGTATATCAACTCATTCAATGGCAGTTGTTTTCAAAGCAGATTTGCGTTTCTTGCCAGATGTTTTCAAGCATTGTGACTCAGAATATTGCGTTCGGTGACAATACAGTATACGCATGGGAACTCGACTCTCTTATTTCACCTGAAATAAAAGCTTGTTTCAAGCTTTTTTCCATTTTCAGTAATCAGCAGTCGAATATGGGCTGGTTTTGCCAAAAAAAAAACATCACTTAACTGACCAAAAACTGGAGAAAACAAACCTTGAGTGAAAAGAAACATACAGTGTATTTTTTTGTTGCTTTTATGACACCACAAACTATAAAAAAGAAACAAAACGAAACAAAACAAGGCTGAGAAAGCTTTGTCTTTGAAAGCAAAATAATTGAAAGATACACAAACGCGCCGTGAGCGACGCAGATCTCCTCACAGCTCGGGTTGAACTTCATCGTCTATTCACTTCTTGAATTGTGTCATCATTTCTCAGTCACCACACACACATTCTACAAAACGACCACAACGCATACTCCTGTTGATACCATGCATACTTTGTTGGGTTGTGAGGTTGCTCAACTTGTCTAACTTGTTGTCATCCTCTTCCTCATAATCGACTTGGCACTGATCTTTATCTTCACCTCAAAAGCTGTGCTGATTTCAACTAGAAAAAATGCAACCCGGCCATCTATATGCATCTGTTAGTCGTTACAATGAAAAACAAATATTTTATTACTTACCACCACTGCACTGATCTCTTAAATTTAGGAAAGTGACAACAGTGTCATCTTTTTAGACAGACATTTAGGCAGACACGTGCAACCGGAACAGTTTTACAGATACTGGATCTGTCGTGAGTACAAGTAAAAAGTTGCCAGAAATATAAATCCGGTAATCAAAAGTGCAGATACAGATAATATTTGTGTTTCCTGACTTCCCATCACTGCCTGCAGGCAGAAACATGAGAATCACGGATCTTTGAGAAGGACAAAAGAGGGCCAGATGCTAACCCCTAGAAGCCATCGCTCTCCATGACTAACGTCAGAAACACTGAAGGCAATCAGACAAAGTTAATGGAGAGCCAAGTGACAGAAGATGGAAAATAGAACTTGGTGCCAAAACCAGGGGAAAAAAAACCCAACATGTTGACAAGCAGTATGCGACATGGGACAATACGCTTTGTCTTGTGGTATTATGTCCTCGTCAGGGTCTTTTGTGGAGCTGCCTCGTTCAAAATCAATAAACAGCCATGACGTTTGAATTTGACAACGTTGCCAACTGAACGTCTCCGCAAATTGAATCCATGTAAAGTACATTTTTGTTTACCGCAGTGTCACCGTCACGCGCACTTCCGGGTGGCAAAAGAACCAAGTCATTGAGAAAACAACAGAAATGGCTTGAAGAAGTGAAGTGTTAAGTGAAGTAAATTGCTTGTCGGGGAGACAAAACGCTGGATATAATTTACATTTCAACAGCTAAATTGATTCACAAAAAAAAAGAGATGGTCTGCCATGATTCTTCAAGAACAGGCTTGTTAATTGACTTTTCGGTTGCGCGGCGGAAGCTCAGACCGCTTCACTGAGACAATCGCAATTAGCATCTGATAGCTGAGCTTGAGGAACCACACGAATGTTCAAGGCAGCGCCACAACCAAAAGCCGGAAAGGAGACAGTCCTTAAGGTGGACTGCGACCGTGACGGAATGGAAGGGAGAAAGTTGAGCAAGACCCACCAAAGCGTGTCAAGAGCTAGCCCAGTTAGCTAGCTTGCAAGAAGGGAGGTAGCGGTCCCAGCCTTGGAGGATTCTCTGGGTCTTGAAAAATCAGTCAAAACGCTCGACAACAGCTGACAACGTAGGAAAGTATGCGGTGAAAACGGTGGCCAGTCAAAGATACTAAATCGTAACACTTGGGTTCATTCGATTGCAGGAAAGCGATTTCATAAAGGGTCACAGTCACAGGGAACTTGCTCAAAACTTGGAAGACTTGCTTATGACTTGCACATGTCTGACTGATCCCTCCTACCCCGCCCCCCTCGCTGTGCTCTGTACCCACAGTCCAATTCCATCTTATTTCCCACGAGCAGTGAACTCACCACGATGAGGTTCCACATGCGAGCCGCCTCGGCCACGATGGTGGAAACGCCGCTGCAGCCGGGCATCAACACGATCTTGATGGGCTCCGTGTACAGCAGGTCGTAAAGCAGCTTGGTGGACTCGCCTGGGTCGCACTGGAAGGACAAGAAAAAGCATGAGGAGAACGAGTGTGGATGGACAGTGTCTCCCCACTATATCATGTTTTAACAATGTCCAAAGTTCTGAGTTGTGGCCCTTTAGTGTAATAGCACATTGTGCCACAACGTACCCTCCACTGTTTAGTGAAAGAAAGCACAGATTTTTGTGGTACAATATTTACATAATGGCTTGAAACGCCACTAGATGTTGTCACATTTTTTGGACAATTGTAATCGTTGCAACTTTAATCAGTTCAACACATTCAGATTGCAATCATTTTTTTTTGAAAATATCAAAATAAAAGCCAAAAATTACATTTTGGGGTTTTTAACTTTTAACTTCCATTTTTTTTTCTCATTGTTCCAACTTTACACTGTTGAACTTATTTCCAATTTCCCCCAAAATTCAAAATAAAAGCATTAATAAAAATAAAAAGCATTACAAGTTTAAAGTGTTCACCATATTCTAATTGTAGATGTTTTTTTCTTCAAAATGTCAAAATGAAAAGAAACATTTTGATTTGTTTTTCCCCCCCTCTAATTTTTACTTTTTTGGCCCATTTAAAACATTCCAAACTTAAACTGTTCATCTTATCCCAACCACATTTTTTTCAAAATTTCAAAATAAAAGCAGCAATTTAGATTTTTTTTTTTGTAAAAATCCTCTAATTTCTACATTTTTTAAACCCCATTCCAAACAATGTTAAACTGTTTTGCTTACAGTTTGTGCAATTGCATTCTTCTCCAAATCTAGTCTTTACGTCATTTATTTTTAATATTAATGTTGCAAGATGACATTGACAGGCCATTCAAGGGTTTTTGGATCCTCGTTTGTGGTATATTTACATATTTAACTATTAATATAGACAATTATAAAAATTCTTATGAGGAGCGTCAATTATTCACAGGAGGTTGACTGAATTTGAGTTTGATACGCTTTCAGTGTAATTGACAGCATGGCAGGAGTGATCGGTCGCCCGCCGCCTGGCGCCGTCACTCCTAAACTGTCCTGACACGTGTGATGATTCAGCCCCGCGGAGGCCTCGCAAACACAATAGAGACTCTCCTGACGGGTGTCACAAACAATAAGCGGGCTGTGACGGGGCTCCTAATTCAGGACGGTTGTCTCGTCGCCACCGTCGCCGATTGTCTCGTTTGAGCTAACGAGTGAAAACGACGTCCTCGCATGCGAGCAAGAAGCACAGCGTGAGACGACGACAAAAAAAATAAATAAAAAATGCGAGATCGTAATTTTCGGACTTTTTGCCGCAGCATCGACAGCACCCGAGGCAGGAAAGCAAATGAAAGTGCAAATAGTGGCAATATGCACATGCCTAAAAAAGGATGCAACTGCGTCATATAATGAGCTGATGGAAAAACATACTAGTGCTCACTTTTGATTGACATTGATCACCTAAATTGGCTGAAATGAGCGTAATAATTGAAATGATGAACGGGCCTTCACACCCCATTTATCATGGAAGAGCCTTGAATTGAACATCAAATACCTCATCCGCCGCCCACATTAGATGATGTAGGGGGGTAAAAAAAAAAAGCATTGCCATTAGCATTGGATGTGAAAGGCATACACGAGACCTGAAATTCACACAAAATGGCTGCTTCAAACCAAAATGGCGGAATTCCCGTTCAATTTGTGTCACGGATCCTTGAGACATGCCTGTGATAGACGTGTCCGCCAATGTCGATCAGTCTAACTGATGTCAGGCAGTGGCTCATTTGTTCAACTTTCTAGGAGGTGCGACTGAGTGAGTTTTGGCAGGGGGATCATGTTGCGGACCTCAAAAAAAAAAAAAAAAAAAAAAACATACACTTCTAGCACAATACACACCTGCACAGGAAATGTGTGATTGGAAACGCTAAGTCCATCAAAAAGGCCAACATAGCCATTCGTAGTGTAAACGAATAATTTTAGCATGCCACATCAGTACTGCAGTCCCCCAGTGCTAACAGAATTAGCATTGACTTTGCAGTTTTGATGTCAAACCAGACGTGGCAATTTTCGCAAAGCCTGCGAGGTGGCAAGGGCGTTTTTTCTTCCAATCAATCAGCACCTACAACCACTTCCTCCCCACGGGTGATTTTGGGACTCGACGGGCGCAATCAACCTGTGCGGGCTTCTTCGTGTCAACAAAGCTGCAAGGTGCAGACTCGCAGCTCGGAATTCACAATGGTTCATGCAAAAATATTCATATTAAGTATGTGTGTGTCGACATACATACCAGATGTGTGGAAAATCTCCCACTGCAATAAACTGGAGTTCACCGTTGTTAGTGTAAGTCACAATCTACAATCTTAATACACGACAAATGCTAATGAACAACCCTTTAGTGTCATCATCACCACGCGCGTCTAACTGTTTTGACATTTTCACGTAAAAATGACAGCACGCACACACATGCAGACGCACGCGCGTCATAAATAATTATCTCAGCTACATCCCGTACAGAACACTTAGCAATCGAAGTTGCTAAGACACCACTAATAGGCTCTAATGATGATATATCTGAAACACGAGGTGTTAAGATAAGGGCCTGTGGGGAGAGCGGATGCCTTTCCATCACGGTGCTATGCTCCCCATTTAACCCTTAATTCCGACTTGCCAAGTCCCGCCTGGCTGACCAGCAACCAAGCGAGAAATAGTGCGTCACCGCTGCCAATTAAAACAAAGTGTGGGGGTGGGTGGGT